TTGGTATAGCTGACAAAACTCCGCTTGGATTTGGGTGATGCATTCCCGACCGGTGGAGTGGCATGGAAGAGACGTCTCTACCACGGCACCCCTAAGTGGTGGCTAATGGACAACCCAATGGACAACCCTTGTAGTGGCCCCTGAAAAGATAGAAACGTGTTTCCAGGACGTAAGTAAAGCTCCTGGAAAATGATAGCCCGTTTTGACCGTCAACATTCTGGAAAACTGTCAGCCCGTCGGCCTCGGCCATTAAAGAGTTGCAGGCCTAGAGAGATCTAGAAGTTTGACATCATCATATCATCTGAACTTTTCTATGTTTTGTTTTGTGATTCGTGCTGGCATGCGCGAGAAATTCGGTCATGTTTGCCCCCGATTTTCTTGAAGTTGCTTTAAACCGGCCAACATTTTCCAGGATGCAACTGTTCTATTCTTTGTTTCGCACTGGCACTGGTATTTACACAAGAATGCCCATGTGTGACAACAGCCATGTTATGTGATTTTAACGATTTTGTGCAAATAGCGCCATGACATACAAGATGGAACCGTTGGCTGATACGGGGAATTGACCTAAACTTTTCCAGGATGCAACTTTTGTACGTTTGTGGAGTACGGTACCTCTCAGGCGCTACGATTGGACACCCCTTCTGCCATCCCCGACCTCCCATCCAGACAAGCAGAAGTGGGGGTTTTCGGCCTCGGCCGAGGAGAAGCTGCTGTGCTACTCCGAGGCGTCCATTGATGGCTCCGACGTGGACTTGAAGAGCAACAGCTCTGAGGATCTAGATGCGGTCGCCTGAGATTGCGTCGAAGCCAAGAGTGCAAGCGCGGCATAGCTCCTCCCTAGCCTACCCCCTATGATGGGGGGCTGAGGACGGATGACACCAGGGTGCGGGGAACTCTAGGGGAAAAGGATCATCGACCCATGGCTTCTCTCGGATTGGTCTAACCTGTCTGGAAACCATCCAGCCGACTCAGCCGACTCAGCCGACCGAGGGAAACATCCGCCCGGTGAAAGGCCAATGCCAATGCTTGAAAAAACACGTCTTGTCAGGGCCTGACTTCCGATCCGAATGACCTCATGACCACCGGGGGGGGAACCTGAAAGGACCTCGGGATCACCCAGCCCAGCCCAAATATGGCCTTTTTCTCATCAACCAGCAGATGTTGAAGGACCCTAGTTCGACTATCCCAGTTCGATACCCCAGGTTTTCCGGGTCCTATTTACGGTCACTGGCTACCTCTTTTGGAAAGCCGTCAAGAAGGGTGAGTTTTGTCGCTCCTTCAGTCGCTTGCTCAGGTCGCTTCTTCGGTTCGTGACTGACCGAACGAAGGAGCGTCAAAAAGGTGGTGACCCTTCATATCCAGGAGGCCTTCAGATTGTGGCCACACCCTTGGGATCTTAAAGGGTCACGAAGGACGTAGCGTATTCCAACAGAAGATCATGTCGGATCGCAGGCGCAGCTCGCCTCACCCTGGTAGCCCACTTCTGTAAGCTACTACTTAACGGCCTGCTCACCAGTATCAGGCCGTCCTGCGTGAACCGCTTGCAACGCGTCCAAGGAGCGCGTTTCACCTTTTGACGGTTGACGCGGGCCCGGCGGACTGAACCAACGCTTGGTAGGACCCGGCGCATGTTGAACAAATATAAGCCCTGGGAATCAAAGACTATAAAAAGAATGGTCTTTAGGGGACCTGAAAGGGAACTTCCTTTACTCCACCCAGTCAAAATATAGTCTTTGGACTTCTAGGGTAAGAAACATGTTAGAGCATGCAACAAATCCTATAATAAGTCTAGATGTCAGACAGCTGGGAATCACTATGAATCAATTCTTTGGAAGACCCACCAACTAAATTTTGACCCCAGTCAAAATTGGTATGTGCGCGGGTTCGGTCCATCAATGGGTTTGGGCTCTAAAAATGGATGGCAGCCATGTGTGTGTGTTTTTTCACTTGTAGGTCACTTGTCCAGCTTTTACGGAGAAGTATGAAGAAGTGCAATGTGAACCTAAGAACTCACCTTCTGTGCTTTCCAACGATGCATTTTTGGAAGCACCCACGATGTGTCAGACATCCAAGATAGGCCCCGGCTCAAACGCTGTTTGTCGCGTGACATGCTGCGGCCTGAAGCCACCGCAAAACGACTACGGTGACGTTCGGGAGCCGCGGCGCCTTTCGGGAGGCCCCGGCGCGGTTTCGACTTGGGTGAGGAGGTTTGGCCTGGGTGCGGGTTTGAGGGGAGGAGCCCGAGATCTGGAAGGGAGAGAGATTTGGGAAGGCCTTTTCAGGCTTCAGATGTCCAGGACGTGGTGGCCCAATATTCCACAGCTTCGGATGTTTCATCGTTCCATCCAGCTCCCCACTTGACTCTGGGCTGCTGGGGATCCACCCTGCGGCTGGTGGTTTTGCCTCAGCCCGATGCCCGCGAGACGATTGGTGAGTCCCTTGTTTAGCCGACCCGGCTGGAGGGGGACCAAATTCGGCTATTTAAGGCCTGTCAGTGGGTGAGTGAGAGGAAGGGGGGAAACACGACCAAGCGGAAGGCTTGCACATGACTGAACCCCCCTCGAAACTGGGTGTTTTGATGTGTTTAGGTGTTTCGGAAGGGGTATACAACTGTAACCTTTGCGTGAAATCTCACCTACTGCACTCAGTCAGCATTAGCTGTCACTGAGAGACGTGCTCCACAAGAGAGAACAACTAAAGGGCTTGCGAGCGGAGATTTCAGCGATCGGCGGCCATCGGGCCCCACGAGGGTTTCCTCGCCCCTTCGGAAGGTGCATGAAGTTAGCTGCATTTTCTGCCCAAGAATGGTAGAATGAACGAACGAACCAAGAAGACAGAGATCACGAAAGCCATGATGCCCAAGAATGAGCCACCAGATGTCACCTCAGGAGGATTCAACCTCATTCCGACTGGATTCCTGCTATGCTCCGTCGCTGATCGTGTTTTGGTGTCGAAGACGGGGTCTGGGCAACAAGAGGTTCCCAGCGCCCCACCCTGCATGTCACTTGTGCCAGGGTGGACCTTGGGAGCTCCGTTTTTGCCTCCCAACTTCGGTCCAACTCGAGGAAGAAGACAATCAAACCAACAACCACCAACGAGGTGGAACCTGTTCGGCATCGAGAACTGTTCGGAGACTTTGGGCAATCCTCAAATCTTCCAAGGACAAGCTTCTTTTGGGAGGGGGGAAGGCAGCTTTCAAGTCAATCTCCTTCTGCCTTGGCTGCCTTGGCAGTCCCCAGAGAGTCCAGTGGACCATTTTTTAGAAGGGTCTTTATATAGGTTGATCCGATGTTGTAGGGTCTGGAGAAGATCTTCTATCTCTTTCATATTTTTCGACAGCTTCCGGTTCCCTCTGCAGCTCCCAGTTGGAGGGAATGGATCTTGGTACAAGAAGGGAATCCCGCCTTTTCCCGGCTCGGATGGCTCGAGGCTCGGTTCGTCCCGCTCCGGTCAAGAAGTACCTGCAACCTAACCATCATCGCCCACTGTTACTGGTAATGGGATAGACCCAACAGATACGGGTTTCGGAAGATGATTTACTTCCAGCAGGTGTGTGAGGGGGAAGAGGTCTCGTCATGACATGGCCGAGGGCAGCACGGCGACAGTGAGGGTAGCGGGAGAAGCAGAGCGAAACACCGTCCCCTCCATGTATGGCTCAATGAATGACCCTTAGAAGTGCTTTAGAAGCTTCAAATTGCACACCAATGCGGGAGGTTCCAAGTCTCCCCTGGCACAAGCTCAGAGCTGCGCCACAGAGCGTCCAAGTTGGAGAGGCCCATCGCAGATTGGCACGCCTGGAGCATCCTTTAAGTATCTTAGTCGTCGGAACAGCCCCTTGCTTTATAGAGAATTTACATGGATGCCCTACGCATCCACACAACGTTAAACCCTTGGGATCGCAGAAGCTTGGCCAGTGCAGACAAGTGCCTCAGTGCTTAAGATGGCTCCATCTTTTGGATAGGTCCAATCAACGTCTTCATCCAATCACCAGCTGGGAGGCCCTGGGCCTTTCGAGTTGGGTTCTTTTCGGTGGAGAATCCCTTCGTGGGGAGTCTTTTTGAATGAAGATGAATGGGGCGTATCCGGTGCAAACTGTAAACCATTACCCTCCCTGGAACTAGCATGGAAGTGGAAAACCACCGGTTTAGTATGAGGAAAAGGGTCTTCCTTTTGGGGCCATCCATGTTAGTGAGTCAGAGTGTAGCCGTCGGAAAAGTAGGCACCACTGTTTTTGGGAAAGGCCTGCAACCTAACCACCATGATCCTCTGGGTGCTGACAAAGGGACGCACCCAAAGCATGGCTTGAACCTTGAACCCATCTGGGCAGAATAGAACACATAGCCCAGTCACCTGGCCCAGTGCAGTGTTTTTGGAGAGAGAGGTGCAGTCACCTAGGTCACCGGATCATGCACTTTTCAGAAATAGATGCGGTGCCAGGTTGGAGCCTTCACAGTCATGGTGGGGCGCCCGTGTAGGCGTTTTTCAACTGAACTCTTGCACCCTCACCTCATGCGAGTTGCCTTCTTTCCATGGTGGGCTTCACAGATCAGCTCAGTGGCAACTGCCACCCGCCCCGTGGCTGCGAAAAAAGAGAGGGGCGCTGGCGGCCGCGTTTGCCCTGCTTGCGGCGGCTTGCTCAAGCAGTGCACCCTGAAGGGGCCATCGAATGAGTTTACTGAACAAACATGGAAGTGGACAACCCCCTGTTTTTGTAGAGGAACACCGGTCGCCAATGAACTTGGCCCATTTTACTTCCTTTCCCTGTCCAAAAGGCATCCCCTTCCAAGATCTTCCAACTGGATCTCACTTGAAAACAACATTTTTTTGGGGCTAGGTGGGAATTGGGCCCAATGACCCCCAATGGGCTCATTTCTTCGCATGAAGAGTCTACCGTCTACCGTATTCCAGTCAAAACAGTCAAACTACAGTGGTTCTAATCAGGTATAAAGGACAGACACCGAAACACACAGATATTGAAAGGCACTTGTCGCTTGCAGGGGCTGGCGAAACAAATGTGAGCTGGGGGCCTCGGGCGCAGGGAGGATCGATTCGGGTAGCCCAAAGTCATTTATATATAATATATTATAGAATAATCTTTAGAGTTTGAGGTATCACGAGTGACACATGTCAAATCAGGCTTTAAATCAGCCATTCGAGTTGTTCCCTCTAGCAATTTCGAAGCAACAAGGAAGGTGCTGGATGCTTTCGGAAGGAGGTGGCGGGGAGATGAAGGACCAAGAAAGGTGGTCTTAATATCAGAAGTGTCCTGAAGGTTTCATGTGAAGTTCTCCTGACAATCGCCCAGATACATTTGATGACCCAGATACGGTGCGAAGACAGTGCCACCACTTCAGGAAGGCTTTGTTGGCTTTTGGTGGATGATCCGATAGTTGAACTGCCAAGAAGTTCTTCTGGTGACTCTTCCAACCTATGGACTCTTGAGCCCATCCGTTCTTGAGCCCGCATCTGGCATTTTGGTCCTTTTCCCTTCCAAACCGGACCAGCAGAGGTTGAAGAACCCTATAGACTATCCTATAGGTACTCCTGTAGGGTCCTATAAGGTCACTTAACCTCTGTAGGGATGCTCCGGGCTGCCCGAACACCGCATGCTCCGAGGTTCACCATCGGCCGCGATCCGCGGGGAGCCGCTCGTCGTCGCGTCGCGCGCCGGAGCCGCTGGAAACGACGCCCGGGGGAACGGCCGGAAGGAGGGGCGGACCACGAGGAAACGGTGGCTGGAAGTCGAAGAGAAATCCCTTTTTTGGGGGGAAGAATGGTGGCCGAATGCGGAAGAAAGGTGCGTGGAATGAGTTTCGACACCCTAGTTCTGAAATCTCCCATGATTTGTTGGAGTTTGGTTCTTGGGCTGGGCGGTTGGGACAGAAAGAGAGATCGAAGATGGAAGTGGGCCAAGGAGGTGGAGGTGGGCTTCATCTTGAAGATCTTGCCTGATGGAGCTCAGGTGAGGAGCGATGAGAATGAGACGGTTTTGCATCGGATCTGGCAAAGTGTTCCTCGGGCCATCCTCGGGCCATCTGAAGACCATTAAGAGCCCAGACCATCCATGTACAGTGGTTTCAGAGTAGATGGCACAGACCCCATGATGTCCTTTAGATGGGGATCCATATAAACCACCTCTTGGGGTCTGTGCCATCTACTCTCAATCCACTATATTGAATATATGCCGACATTGACCCCTCCAACCACCCCAATGTCATGTGCAGCTCCCAGCAGGTGATCGGCAGCATTCAGGAGGTGCCGCTGGGGAGCCCCAAGTGGTGGCTGGTAGCGCCTGGCAGGAAACGCTGAGAGGCGTTCGGGTTCATCGGTGTGATCGAAAGGCAGGTTCACCTCAGCTGGGCGTCCGAGACGCTGACCCCTTTGGGGTGGCGAGGGCTCGAGCTGGTGCGTGACCGGATCTCCCTTCGTTTGGGGCGACCGGATCACTGTGTTGGTCAGTGACAGAGAGGCTTGGACTCCACCGCGAAGTGACGAACCAGCTGGATCTGGAGATTTGGGGCTTTGGATCTTGAAACCTAGAGCTCCAAACCCGGCTTGACCCTCCCTAGTAGTCTATTCCGTTGATTCTTTGGGAGGCCCCCCTGCTTTGGACACACTGTCAATTTGAGTCTGCTGGGTTTCCAGCTTCAGAGCGCTTCTCGCTGCCCGCGCTGAGGCTGGTGCCCGCGCCAATGCAGAGACTTTGCGCCATGGCTGGGGCGCCAAGTCCTGGCGCAGTGACGTTGCGGGCATGGCATTGGAGGGCCTCTTGGACAGAAGAGAGGTTGAGAGACCTGAGCTAGGACCCTGTAGTGGTACATATGGGATGGGCTATGTAAAGGGCTGTTAAACCATGTTAAACCCTTTTTGAACGTCAGGAAGCAGATTCTTTTTGGCAAGTTTGCACGTCCCTCCACGATTTTTCAACATGGTTTGACTATGTTTCACTAGGTGACCCGAAAAAAGGAGCACTTCCTAGTCTTCAGGGGGGCCCAAAAACTCTGGGACTGCCGAGGTGTCGTCGCTGGTCGCCAAGTCGAGCTTTCCCATCTACGACCGCAGGGAGAGCTGTCCACCGAATGCTGGGAAGGTCGACGACGTGGATGTGAGTGCTGAGTCCAGTCATGACTCATTTTACCCCGAACTGGGAGTGATGGATTATGACTTCCAGGTGGGGTAGGTGAAATGAATCAAACCAGAAGTTCTGGCAATGTGAAGCCAAGCTTGTTTTGGATGCTTCGCAAGCTTGTCTTGGCTCCACCATCTAAGACCCTCAACCCGACCTCGGCGGAATCCGCCGACACTGGCTCTTCAGCACGGCCATGTGCCCCGTGGCGTGGCGCAGTGGACTCCGTCGATCTCGATCACCACTGCTCGGACCAAAAGCAATTCAGTTCCACTGTGCGCGGGCCCTGGGGAGTTGAACTCACTCTGCAGCGGACTCTTCTTGGGCCCTGTCGGCCATATCATGATGGAAGAATGGCCATGAAGACCTGGGGGGGGGGGTCTCTTTTGGCCCTGGAAGCTCATGAGACATAGGTTCATGAAGACCTGGTCTCTATGGTTCATGGTCCCTATGGTTCATGAAGACCTGCGGGCCCCGGGTCTCTTTGGCCCCTACGAGTTGTCCTATGACCTATGAACTCATCAACCCTGAGACGAACCACTCCGTGGAGTTGTCGGACACCCAGTTGCGGCGGAAGCGCGCGGCCGGAAGCCGATCGACAGAGTCTTCTGACTCTGAAGGGTCTGACCAGGGGGGGATGTGATTTTGGGATATTCCTTGACTTCACAAAGGAACAAGTTGAACTGGACTTCTAGGGCCTACCTCTCAAGCCTTGTAGGCCCAGTGCCCAGCTGAGTCACTCATCACGTTTGTTTCAGCACCCTGCTCCAGATCTGCCCCTTTTCGAACGGACCCGTTGACCTCACAAGCTTTCACTCACACAACCCGCACAAGCTCCGCGTGCCTTTGGGCCGCTGCCGCGGGCGCCAGGAGGGCCAGCGCAAAGGCGTTTGGCGCACCCTGCTGGCGCGCGTGAATCCGTCCAATGAGATGTTGGGGAGCCCAGGGTGAACCACAGGTGGCGCCAAGGTTGAACCATGTGATATGATCGATATGTGCCCGTGCCAGATGTACCCTCTGCATACAATTTGTCAAATGAGTCTGTAATTAGGTGACCCAAAAGGAACATCCTTTACTTCAAGGTGGCACAATGTGGACAAATATAGTCATTATAGTCTTTGGACTTGCAGGGTATACAAATTTATATATATATATATAACACTTGGCGTTTCCGGGGTGGTGCATTTTTGTGGCATATGATGCATGTGTGCTCTACCAAGTGGGTTCACAAGCTGGAGCAGCAAATGGAGAAGTGGAGATGATAGCAAACCAAGTGAAACCGGAGTTTCACAGTGATGGATGCACCATGTCATGTATCCACCGTATCCACCTTTTCAATTTAGATGTCCGTTCGGCCTGTACCAAGTCACCAGCTTCATCTGGTCCCCGTCACTTCTTGTGAACAGCTTTGGATTTCTGGTTTATTCTGATCCCCACCTTTCGGGTGACCCGACGCCTCGATCCCTCCAAACCTTCGCGGTGGGGATCGCACCTTGGATCGCGCACTGGACCCGCACGGCCGCGGACGGTCCAGATCTTGGTCAGGTTGGTGATGTTTCAGACCACCAGCTTGTCCGAGGAGGACCGTGCCAACTTCGTGGTGGCCTCAAGCAGTCAGAACCGGTTTTTCAGGTGATCACAGGTCCTCAGATGTTGTCATAGCCTTCCTGGCCCACTTGGCTATGAGCGAAGAGTTTGAAAACGGCTCCTAGGTGGAGCCACTGCTGCCAGAGCTGGAGAAGCTCGGCGTGACCTCAGTCTTTTTACAGTTCAATGATGAGGCGGGTTCGGAAGGTCGGCCTCCTTCGGTTCGGACGTGGCCGGAATGCGTCGTCGCTTCTGTGGGCCATTGTGATGGCCCTTGTGGGCCCCTTTCAGCACCAGACTTCCAAGACCTTCCAATAACCATGGACCTGGCTTTGGTCTTTTGTAGTGGGAAATCCGTTGATTCGGGATGACCAGCCTATTACATTCATAGTGGGCCAGGAAGCCGAACGGGAAGAGTTCTGTGTCTGATCTTCTCCAGACTTCACTGGACTGATCCGTAGGTCAGGTCTGGTTCACCGGTCCGGTCAGTGTGGCCTGGACATCATGCACCTTCACGAGCACATCAGGGCTGATGGGCTCCTGCAAAGGTAGCCAGTGACCGGGACCATAGGACCCGGAAAACCAGAAGTACCCAACTAGGATAGTCGAACTAGGCCAGGGCTCTAGTAGCTCACAGCGCTGCGCTCTCCAGTGGACTCTGGACTCCAGACGTGACTCGACGCCCAGGACCGAAGGAGCGAGCTCGCTTGACCGATTCAGTGTGCTTCTACCCTAGGCTTCCAACAACCATTAATTTAATAGGCTTTACCGAATCAACTGAGGATTTTACACTACAAAAACCAGGTCAACCATTTTTTAAATGGTCTTGGAAGCCTAGGATCTAATCGAACATCCAACCCGTGCAACGGCCCCTCGGGATTCCAACCCGTGACACGTTTTCATCGGCGGTTGGAATGCCAAGGCATGTAGACATCCTCAAAGCTTCACCTAGAAATTGAGTCGACCTCTCCCGTACCGCGGCTCGGGTCCGATGGCTTTGAGAAGGTATTACCTGAGGAACTTGGTCGGGTCGCGCGGCCTGGGCCATCGATGGAGGTGTCGCGTGTCGTGTTATTTTTCTTCATCCGGGTCAATTGTTGGAAGGTCCCCCCACTGAAATTTCATCCCTTCCAGGACCCTCCAACAGGTGGTTTTGGGGACACCTCTCAACTCTTAACCTTTAAAGAGGCCAAGCTATCGACACCTCTTGGAGGGTTGGAGATGTTGGAGGCTCCTGGATGGTTCAGCCCCCTGAACCTGTTCAGGCTCCGTTCGTCCCCGCCTTCGTGCAGGTCACCGACGCGGCACGCCCCACGGCGCTGGCGCGGCGCCCCGGTGGGACGCCCGGGTGTGTGGATGGAACCAGCAGAGAGTTCGACGATCCTAGGCCAGGGTACCCCAGGTTATGGGTCCCCTTTACGGTCACTGGCTACCTCTGTTGGCACCAGGTGGCATCATGAAGCCGAGCCTCATCGAATACCTTGGGAGGCACATGTCGACGAGTCGACTTAGAAAGCTTAGAACAGGCTTTTGTAAGATGGACCAACATCTGGGCCGGCAGCTGCCGATCATCGAAGTGGCTGATTCCTCAGATCTTCCCTTAAGCTTGTATTTGCTTGGCGTCCCAGTCCCTAAGCCGTTCACATTCCCAGGCCATTCAGGGAGTTTTTTTTGTTTTTTTGACCACCTGATGCTGTCTACCATACTGGTATGCGGTACTCTGAAAAAACTCAAACAAAGGCTCTAAGAACCTCCAAGCCGGTAAAACAAGGACTCAAGGAACTTGAAGGCAGACCTGGAACTTCCGTGGACTGTCTGTCCAGTTGGTAAGAACCCACCGACTTGACCCCACGTGCGCCCAGGTGACGCAAGTTCATGGGAAGCCCAGGCCGGACCGGAAACACGGCAGGGAGCGGGGAGCGAAGGGCAAGAACACATCGAGTCATGGAACTCCATGCGGCAAGAGCTACCAGCAGAGGTTGAAGAACCCCAAAGACTATCCTAGTTGGGTACTCCTCTAGGGTCCTATTTACGGTCACTGGCTACCTCTGTAGCTATGCCGGCCCAACTGATGGAGCTGGCACCGAGGCATCCGACGATCGGTCTCCGACCGGTGGTGAAGTTCGGGTGCTAAGATATACCAACTGTTCAGTGGGTCAGAACCCGACGCCCTTCGACTATCGCAGGGTAACCGGGTCCCCAGGTGTTCCGGGTCCTGTTGACGGTCACTTCACCTACCTCCGTTGGTAAGGGGTGGATATTTGCATCTCGGGCTCCCTTGCAGGTAGGAAGGGGTCCCCATCCCCCGTGGCGGCGCCGGCGGCGGCTCGGCCCGACCGTGGCGGGGCTCCGCGCCGTGCGGCGGTGTGGCGCCGGGTGGCGCACCCTGTGCGGCGGAGGCTGGAGATGCCGATGCTGGGCCTCAAGCTGGAAGTGGGTCCCTTGCGCCTCGGCGACACGGGCTGGGTGGGGAAACGGCTGGGAAACGGCTGGCGATGGGAGGGAGATAGAGATGACTGGGCGTTAGAGGGTGGGTGGAGCAAGAGAATTTGGATGTCACCTTCAGACTGGGGCTTGAGATGGAGGACTTCACTTCTGGTCCTTTCCAAGTCCTTTCCCCAAAACCAATAGGTGGTTCATGGTGGTTCATTGATTGAACGAGCTTGGCGGAAGAACATCGAACAACCATTGTTGCACCCAGAATTCTAGACAAGACCAGGTCTGTGAAGTTTTTAGCGTGCCATGTGGTGGAGATCATCATGCCATGACTCTCGCCCGCCATGAAGACCACTACCCTGTGACTCATGGACACATGGAAGGGGGACATGCTTTGGGAAGGCGCCTCCCTCACCCACCCGTCCGCGTGTCGCTCCCGGACCCCCCCCCCCCACCTGTGTCATGTCCAGCTGACCTTTGAGGTCCTTCTTCAACCCCAACACCACGACCTGCCGGTTCCTGATGGAAACCGCTCTGGCGCCGCTTGGGATGTTCGATTTGGGTGCTTTTGGCTGGGCGGCGCTTTGGCTGGGTGTTTTGCATATACTGTAGGTGGACTTAGAGTGACAGGTAGAAGGATGGGTCACACACACACGCACACACCCGGATGCAGCACTATCGTTCGCCCAGCTGCGTGAGCAGCCTGAGAGGGCAATGGAATCTCATGGAAGTCCGGGAAACTCGTCACCCGCCGAAGTGGCATGTCTTGTGGTGCCCGGAGTTTGACGGGTCAGAAGCGCGAGAAACTCTGAGGTTTCTGAACCTCAAGAAGACCGAGGCCACGGCAGCAGTGCTGCGACCCCTTGACGGGGGGGACTGTTGAGTTGACAAATTTCAAGAGCTCCTTCGACTTTCTTGCTAGGTGGACATGATGACAGGAATAGAGGACCGCAAGTCCAACGCCTTCCCCCAAGAGAGAGAGAGAGAGAGAGAGAGAGAACACATGGGGACACATGGGGATGCGCCCAAACCTGGAGCCCTGCTCCACCATGTAGACTCAGACGACGCCTCAGGTAGGTCAATTCAACCATATTCAACCAGTTGGTCTCCCGGTGAAGTCGCCACACGACTTTTTAAAGAGGGTCGCGTCTGCCGCGTCCTGCTCCAGATCTTGTTGGACATCTTCTGTGGGATCGGCACCATTGGCCTTTGTGCGGCGCATTGCTGCGAGAAGGTGGGTGGGGGTTCGGTGGGGTTGGGAGTGAGGCTGGGCGGGCGCCAGAGGAGCTCATTGATGGGAGAGACGGTTTTTGCTTGCAAGTCCCAGAGTCCAGTTCAAAAAAATTGGGCACCATGGCCACCACGGCCAGAGATTTTGACCTTTGGGTCAGCTGGAGGCACGTTTTGTCAAGTTCTAAAATGGTCTTGGGCTCCCAGGGTGTTTGTGAGGTTTGGGGAGGTGTGTGATTTTGGACAAGTGCCCCCTGTAGAGAAAATGATCTCAAAAAACCCCGGCATGTGGCACACAGACGTCGGTCTTTGGGTGATGATCTCTCGCACGATGCGGCTTTCCCTGCGATGTTCTTCAATGTTGATCAGTCAATGGCATCTCAAAGCAGCACCCGTTACACTATATATATATATATATACCAGCACCCTCCAACAGGTGCTTCCTGGTGACAACAGGTGCCCAGAAACCACTTGTTAGGGTCTCCAAACAGCCTGTTGGAGGGTGCTGGTATATACAGGTCTCCTCACGGTGGGGTAGCATGACCTGTGACCTGTTGGAGGGTTGGACTGCACTCTCCGTGGCACCACGGCGACCCGCCGGACCCACGGACCCACGACGAGGTCATCGGCGTCGACGTGGTGGAAGAAAACATCGAGGATGTGGCCGCTGTGGCGGTTGGGGGTGCGGTGATGGCTGTGCGCCAGACATGGGCAGTCGGGGAGGACGGTGGATGTCGGGCAAGCTGCGAGGGAGGGGGCGATCGGGGATCCTCTTGCACATCCCAACTCAAAAGCTGGAGATGGTTAGATGGGTCGATGGAGTACGTGGAAAGTCGGAAGTGATCTGCCGCCAGGACGGTGGAGTCGGCTTCACAGGTCACCACTTGCGACTTTTAAGTCTGCAAAAGCCACTAGGAAGGAGGCTGGTAGGCTTGTGGTGAATAAGACCCCCCAATCCATGGGCACTTTGAATCAAGAGTCTTAATTAGAAGTTTTTTGGGCTCCCATGCTTGCCATTTCCTTCCATCCTGGTCGGTGCAGCTTCGTCATGATTTTGGAGGAACCCGGCCCCAACTGACTAACCATCAGCCACCACATCAGCTATCAGTTGATATCGGTTGAATGGGATGGAATGAGATTTTGTACCAACTCCGGCCAGCAACTATGTAATGTACACTGTTGATGAATCACTTCCACGTCTGGATTCCCTCTCCAGATGGGAGAGATTCTTCATCAACAGCCTAGCCTTAGGCTAGCCTTCCAAGACCGACTTAAAGAATGACGATGGTTCGGGATTATCAACGCATGAAAGTCCACGGTGGGCCACGAACCCTAGGTGAACATTTCGAGGCAATGGAAGGATTCCTCTCCAATTTTCTGGCTGAAGGCCAGGTATTCCTGTTCTCAGACGCGTCGTGTGTGACATGCGTGAGGATGCTAGACGGAATGCGGAGCAGAATGCCATCAGCAACACGGAGTTCCTGGCTGCCTGGAGGGAACAGCGGGACTGGAGACAGCTCCAGCTGAACCCGAGGATTGATTATTCGGAGAGCCCAGGGATGTTTCCATCTTTCGCTTGAAAACCGAGCCGTAACGGAGTTAGGCATGCTTTGGACTTGGCCACTTCAGGAACCTTGGACTTGGAGTTTGGACCTGCTTTTTCACGCTTGCCCAATTTGTGGCTTGCTGGGCCTTTAAGTCTACTTGGTGGATGTTGGTGGCAGAGTTTTAACGAACAGCCGGGACGGTGAACCGCCAGGGAGGATATATTCGGTTCATATTTCAGTTGGCTTGACGCCGCGAGATACGGTGTCCCCCATTCCATTCCAGGTCTCTAGGAGTGGAACACCTTACTCACCTGCAACATGGAACCCGAAAACCACTGGGTTGTAGATGAACATCGTTTTCCACCGGTCAATTCTCAGGTTCCATGTTAGTTTGCGGGAGGGTAACAACATGTAACAACTATGCCCTTTTGGTTGTTTCAAGGGTGCACAAACATTGGCATGAGGAACATTTGGGCCCGGGTCTTTTGTTCGTTTGCTGGATGTTACGCAACAGCATGCAGTTGGATTCCACATCATACTCTGTGGAATCAGGCGGCGCTACATGTGCCACCAATTCCTAGCCAATCTCGAGCGTGGCCGAGTGAGAATCCCACATCACGTCTCATGGTTTGCCTTGGAGCCCGCCATCCACATCACGCCCCCTCCAAAGTCCAGTCTTCAGCCTTAATGGGCTTCTGAGTGCCCTTGGGCCGCCAGAGAGCTTTCTTCTGCGTGCGAGACAGGCGGGGAAGGCAGAGGAGTTGGTGCCGAAGATCCTGGGTGACATGGATCCATCCAAAGAGGCGCGTTCATGGCGTGGACTTCATGCTGCGGGGTTCGTGAAGAAGTGCAGTGCCGTGATTGGGGGGTTGTGTGGGTATTCAAGAACTTTTTGGCAAGTTGTTACATTCCCTTACCGTTCCCTAAGGTTTGAGCCACCATTGATGTCGTGGGTTTTCAACATTTTTAGGAGACCCGGCCAATGGAACTCCTTTGATGGTCTTGACCTGGTCAGGCTAGAGATGTTTCATATTTGCCTGAATATGCTGAGATGGGGAATCTCAACGACTCCATCTTCTTCAGGTGATAGGTGTGTGCAGTTAGCCCTGCGGACGCCTCCACCTCCGAGATGCTCATGCTCGGACCCAGGACGCATGCCCTGACTTGTTGCAGACCAGGAGATCAAGGGCTCTGGCTGTTCTTCATGCATCGCTTCCTCACCAAACGGGTGGACCGAAAACACGGTCCCCCACGCCGGACAGCCGGGGGACGACTTGTGTGCCTGACAATGACCGAACCGCATGCGTGGCGTTCCAACCGGGTTTGGTTCAAAAGTTCTCAGCCACCGATCGGCAGGGGCGAGAAAGGGTGCCCTCCTACTATCCCTAGGGCTCCTGGCCCATCTCCTCAGCAGGGGGTTAGACCCCCCAAATCCACCCAACCATCTTCTCAGGAGGTGGGCCAGGAGCCCTAGGGTATAAATTGCACACCTCCATGCATCTTCCTTTCAGGGTCACCTGGCTGAAAGCCACTACACGACTAATGGATCTCCAGCCAGGGCACCCCGACAGGAAGGTCTTGCTTGGAGTGTTTGGAGCTTTCTCTTTGACCACCTGTGAACTCGTCCGTGTTCGCCCGTGGAATGGACACATCGGCAACAATGTCGACGCTTGATCATATTTCAAACCCCCTAATGAAGATGTTTTACACTCCAAATCAGGGGGTTCTTTATGAATCAAAGAGTCTACAGTAGACTCCTCCGTCGCGTTGAAATTTGGGGGTCACTATGTTTCGGGATGTTTCGCGCGTGCTTAGGGCGTACGCCAAGTCAGCTGCAGGCAAAATCCTTGTGGACCCACTGTGAAAAGGACTCCGTCAAGACTTGTGTCCAGATGCCGGCTGTGCATTTTTTCCGCGTGCCGCACAACAAGGTGGTGGCCGTGGTTGACCCTTCTCGTGCGGGCCAGGCGCTCAGGATGGGCTCAGGATGGGGGGAGGGGTGCGTGTGTGTGTGCTTCTGTAACTTTGGTGTGTGGCAGCTCATGGCAGTTGGAGTTGGTTGACCTGCTTGACGCTGGAAGAGTTGGAGGTTTCCTCTTCTTTCTACAGGCTTGATTGACCTGTTTGATGCTTGAGTCAAGCAGCGAGATGAGGATGTCTTGATCTCCTTTCAGTCTTGTTGATTTGATCTAGTCCTATTTGTTGAACAACAGGGCAATTACTTCACCTTGAGCGAGGGAGGAAAACGCTGAACCTTTGCAGCATGTGAGGCATCTTCCAAAGCGCCCTCACCTAGACCATTAAAGGAATGGTTGACCTTGTTTGGTAGTGTGAAATCAGTAAAACAGCTCGGTTGTTCGTTAAAAACAATACATCAATGGTTGTTGGAAGCCTAGTGCCTGAAAGCGTGTTCACGTCCCACCCCGTACGTTGATCCATGCCAATTCGGATCCATGAGAAATCATGGTGTTCTGCATGAATTGGTACGGTTTCTTTGACCTGCGCCGGCTCAAGGCTTAGGCAGATGAACATGATTGGAGTGGATGCAACAAGAGTTCGGAAGAGACCCTACAGGCTTCCAAAGGAAGACACGCAGGGGAGATTGAGACAAGCAGACACGCTCCTGACTTGTAAGAGAGCGCAGATTGGTTGCTTGGACTATTTCTTCGATTTTCTAAGTATTGTACGAGGACTGGAGAAACAGCATCAAACCAGCAAAACAGAAACCCAGAGTCCGAGAGTCATATAGGTGTCGCCATCCCAAAACATATCGCAGTGCCTCTGCTGAACACAAGCGGGAGGCGACTGTCAGGCGCCATGGCTTGAAGGGTTTGGAAGGCTTTGCTTGGTGATTGATTTTGACCCGTGGGTGAATCCCCTTCTGGAGAAGATGATGAATACCCTGGGAGTCAAAGACTATCAAAAGAATGGTCTTTAGGGGACCTGAAAGGGAACTTCCTTTACTTCGGCCGGTCAATATATAGTCTTTGGACTTCTAGGGAATATGTTTATTTTTCCTGGTTTCCAATCAGCATACTCCAAGTGCTTGGAGGGTTTGGGTGGGCTGCCGCCGTTTTTGGGTGTGTTCCGGGGAAATGTCCTTGACCACATGGGAATCTGCAACACGAATTTGATCCCTCTCCAGTCACTAGTCCTCTTTCTGTGCTCCCAGTCCCACCATCAGAATGCCCGACAAAGGAGAGGCCGCGAACCCCGAACCAACTCAGAAATCGAAGAGCTAGTACCTGTGTTAAGTCGTCTGTCCTTGTAGAAAGTCGTCTGGATGACTTTTCGCAAGCCGGTGACTTTCTGCAAACCCGGGTGACCAAACCCCAGCGCTTGTACGGCGGCATGCGATGAGGGGATGTTCCGAACTCCTCACTGGGCACGAACACATCCCTTCGTCATGCGTGTGATGATCATCATGATCAAAAGTCACAACCACGGACCATGTACCACCATGTGCCACCATGTACCACCATCACTAAGTAGCAGGACTACCAGCATCGTCATGAGTGAATCATGACCGGGGTCTTTCGGCCGACTCCGGACAGCCCCACAGCGACGAGAGGACGACCCGCCGGACGACACGGGAAGCGGCCCTCAGGTCGATTCTCACAAGCAGAAGATGCCAGGTGCCTTGCCTTCCTCGTGTTGCGCATGGAGGAGGAGGAGGAAGAGGAGGAGGAGGAGGAAGAGGAGGAGGAGGAGGACCGTTTCCAGAGGTTGGGATTAACTCCGGGGGAGCCTATCTTCCCTTTCGAAGAGGGAATTTTGTTAGGATGTTTGGAGCCGCATGAGATTGAGAAAACCACAGGGGCCACTGAATGAACCGCCAGCCATGCACGCATGAATCCCAAAGCGCACAATGAGAGCCAGCAGTTTATCTCCTGCTTCGGAGACCTGTTATATAAACTTTGACCAGTACTTTGACCTCTCTAGTAGTCATATATTCAGTTCATTTTCGGTGGTCCAGGGCTGACTCACAGCGTCCACAGCCTGGGTGCCAAAGTTTAGAAGCTGAAGGTGTCACCTGAATTCTGCCATGAAACAGCGGTCCGGCTGTTCAGACCTACGCGGCCATCAGAGACTTGAGGCATAAGGGCCATCATGTCTGATGGTCAGGTCGACCCCGCACCCGGGAAGGTTCGACCCTGCACCTGGGAGCTCAGGTTGGGGCAGAGCAAGCGCCCAAGCGTCCTGCTGAGAGAAGGGTGATGGGCCCCTGAGGTGACTGACTGACTGCAACCAGTCGTGTAGACGGTGGATGAATCAAATCTCTCCAGGCAGAAGAGGTTTCACCATGCATGTCTGGGAGAGTCCTCGAGAAATATCTCTACATTCAGGAACATCCGGGGTGCCTGGATGTGATTTTCGGGTGCCTCTGAACTGGCTCTAATGACTGATGACTTTGTTAGGGGTCAACACACTCTCATTTTCCAGGCCCCACCGAGGACGGCGAGCCACGTGGCGGTTTTCTGGCTCACTCCCTTGATCGATTCGCAACGGCCTGGTCAGCCAGACTCAATGGGTTGTGGTTCCCTTCGCGCGTCCAGTGGGTGTCCGATGGATGGTGAGACCCCGACTCTTCAGGTCCAGTTCGGCCGAATTTGGGGGCAAGAGCCGACGTGAGAAGGACAGTCCAAGAGAGGTAGCCAGTGACCTGAACTAGGACCTTACTGGGGTACCTATGGGATAGGCTATAGGGTCCTTCAACCTCTGTTGGAAGAGAAACAACGTGGAAGCGACTCGTCTCTTTGGCCAGGTGAGGACTCGGCAGGACTCAGTTGGGAGACACTCAACCAATCCACGACCGGTCGACCTGTGTGTTTTTCCCGTTCGGCTTCCTGGCCCACCATTAATTTAATAGGCTGAATCCCGAACCAGCTAAGGATTTGACACTACAGAACCAGGTCAACAATCTTCTTTAATGGTCTTTGAAGTCTAAGGGTTTTGTGAGTGGGTCCCAAAATGAACGACCCATTCTCCAGCAAATTGTTGAAAGTTGAAAGGGACCAATCAACGGAGGTTCAAGAACCCGACTGTTCGACTATCCCAGTTGGGTACCCCAGGTGACGGGTCCTATTTACGATCAGAAACGACCAGATTTTGGAGGTTGTCTCCACCCGAGGATTCGGATGACAAGGTCCGTGAGAACTTGGAGCTCCTTGAGTGGGTGTCGCTGGGCCGAATGGGGCGGTTGGATGAGGGATTTCTGTTGCTGATCCTAGAAGTCGTGGCCCACCCTTGTTTTAATAGCCGGGTCATCCCAAAGAACCGAGCTGTTTCACTAAGGGTTTTACACTACAAAACCAGATCGTTCCCATTTTTAAAATGGTCTTTGACTTCTAAGGTTTATATACCAGCACCCGGCTCTACAGGTCACCAATTGAGACCTGTTAGGGCCCAACCCTCTAGAGGAGAGTTGGAAGGTGCTGGTACAATTGACATTAATGGCATGTAATGACATAACTCAAGAAAGAATTAAACATAATCCATTTCATTTTGTGAAGCGACACGCTCCCCGGAGTAAGTCCGAAACCCACGTGGATGGCAGAGGTCCATTGGTCCTGTCAGCTTCGTGCCCAACCAGAGGTTGAACAACCCGACTGTTCGTCGGTGATGTGCCTGCCCCCTTTGTTTCAGGTCACCAACCACCACCTCTCTGGGTGTCCCTTAGGTCGTTCGTCCGCTCCGAACCGTCGGACGGTCACCAGTCCGGGGAGCCGGTGGCCGGTCACTGCCGGGTGCCAAACCCTGGGAGTCAAGCTCGACGATAAAAAGCAACGGTCTGACGAACGGGGAACTGAATCTGGGAACTTCCTTTACTTCAGCCGGTCAAAATATCGTCGAACTGGACTTCTAGGGAAAAGTACTCTTATAGTGAATACTCCTGGACCTTCAAGGGGTGTCCAATGGAGGTCCTTGGTGGACCAGAGCTTCGCTGTGGTCCGAGGATTGGCACCTGGACGGATCAGTTCGAGTCCACCTACTCAGCTCCTCGAACGCATGGGCTGGGCTGGGCGTGACCGGGATGGGGTGAACCTGCAGGTGATGGACGGAGGCTCCCAGAAGCCCTCCCCCAAAAAGGACGAGACTTTGGGCACCGAAGTATCCAAGAGAGGTTACTGTAAGTGACCTGAACTAGGACTCCGTCACCTGGAGTACCTATGGGATAGTCGAACTAGGGTCCTTCAACCTCTGTTGGTAGGAGGAACATCCTGTTTTCTGAGCATTCTGTTCTGAGCCCAGAAAACCGTGGGGTCAGAGCCTCCCCCACGTCGACGTTCGCCCCCCTCCCCCCGCCGGGTCCTTTGTATCGAAGACCGCGCGAGCTTGGTGCGAAGGGTTTTCCCTTGGAGACCTTACCCTACGTGGTCAAAGACCGCCCAAACACGCAGGTGCTCCG